CCACTGAGCCACACCGGCTGGGCTGTGGATGTTTTTAAAAGCTTCCCAGGTAATTTTGATGCTGCATTTGAGGCCCAAGGCTTTGGAGAACCTCTGGTTTAGTCTCCCCACCTCTGTACCGCTGAGAGAATTAAGGCTCTTGACCAGGGAGAATCCAGCCTTGGGTGTGCACCTGATTCAGGTGTTTTCCTCAACAGTACCTCTAGGTATCACCTAAACTGCTTTCACATTTTCCAGGGAACATTCTTTTTTTTTGCATTTATCTTCAGATGGAGCAGGAGGGAGAGAGAGAGAGAAACATCGACGTGAAAGAGGCACAAATCGACTGGTTGCCACTCACACGACCCCAACCAGGGCCAGGGACAAATTGCAACGAGGTACGTGCCCTTAGCGGGAACCAAACCCGGACTCTGGTCTGCAGGCCGACGCTCTAACCGTTGGGCCGAACTGACCAGGGCTCCAGGGAATATTCTTAAATATTTTGGGGGGAACTCGATCCCCCTCCTCCCCACTACCCATCGCTTCACCTTTCAAATGGTCTTTGGGAATGATTTGTGTATTATTTTAATTTTCTTAGAAACCAGAGGTTTGGCTCCAGGCTGGTAGAAACCTCTCTAGTTTTAGGTGACGCATCTTTAAGGACTAAAAAGCACTAAGAAAATACCTTTTCTCCGGTGCCACCTGTGATTCTGGGAAGGGGACAGGAAGGGACGTTGCCTCCGCTTCCTCTCAGCAGGGTTCCATCGGGGACGAACAGCCCAGGACACAGTTCCTCCAGCAGGACGGAGTAGCCGTTACCTCAGGGATTGGACGAGCTCTCAGAGGGCCCCCTGGCGCAGGGGGAGCACCTTCCTCGCAGTGAATTCCTACTTGGAAGCCCCCTAGCGGATGGGTAAATCCGAGCTGCAGTGTTTGAGGCAGAGATGGGGAGCTTGGAATCCCACCTCCTGTCCCTGCCCCGACGTGCACCCGCCTGGCCCGCAAGAAATGTGTTCAGCACTGTGCTCTCTTTGAGGCCTATTTGAAAACCATTGATTTCTTTTTTTTCCCCTTTCTCCTTCCATAGGAGAAATCAAGCTTCCAAATCAAGCTGATCTGATCTCTCATATATATCACCTTCTCCTTCTTCTACACCCTAGTCCAGTCACGCCCAACTTCCCCTCAGCTTTCTCTTTTTTGTTTCTTTATTGATTTTAGAGAGAGAAAGGGAGAAGGAGAGAGAACATTGATTGGCCACCTCCTGCATGCCCCTCACTGGGCATTTGGCCCATGACCTGGGCATGTGCCCTGACCTGGAATTGAACCCATGACCTCTTGGTGCACGGGTCGATGCTCAACCACTGAGCCACACCGGCCGGGCTCAGCTTTTACTTTCTAAGGAGGTTTTTGCATCTGCTCTTCTCCCACCCCACTTGCACTGTCCACTCTGCAGCTGGATAACTTTTTAAGTTCACAAATGGGATTCTCTGCCTCTCCGCTAAACCTCCAATATAAACAGACAGCGACTTCTCATTGCATTTTGGACGAGGATCAAACTGGAGCTTCTCCGAGTTGAACTACGGCCACCGTGTTGCATCTGGAGGTAGAGCCACTTGGGCTTAGTTAGTGCCCGAGCTGACCTTTCTCCGCTTCGGACTTTTGCTCTGGGGCTCGCCCTGCCCCACCTCCTTCCGCTCCCCCGTCCAGACTCCGCTTCTCCGCCCTTCAGAATGACTCCACCACATTCCCCCAACATCTCCGAGCTAGGAAGTGCCTGTTAAACCTCTTCTCACGGGACTCTGTTTCTCCTTCTCAGCAGTAATCTCAATCTAATTAAGTAATTACTGATGCAATTAGTTGTTTGTCTGTCTTCCCTTAGAAAGTAAACATCGCAAGGGCTGGAACAGAGCTCGGAAGGTTCTCGCACACACACAGTCGGGCTTAAGTAAATATTTGTCCGATGCTTTCATAGTATCTAGTTTGTGCACAGATCTCACGCCTGGTGTTCAGCCCAGGTGAGGCGGCTGCGGCAGGTTGTGGGTTGGCTCTGAGGGCTGGGATTGCCTGCGGAACATGAGGTAATTGCATGGTTCCTATTTACAGCCACATTGTGTTAAGTGGGTTACCTAGTATGGTGCAGTTTAAAGAGCTCTGAGTTTTGCTTTCATTAGAAACGTGATCAATTCTTCCAAATGAACAAAGAAGGGGAAAATCCACTCAACAAGTGGAGAAGTGTGTGGGTGCAGTGAGGTTTGGAGGTGGATTTGTATCCTGCTTGGGGGACCTCCTGTAATTCAGTAATGGGACTAATACAGAACCTAGTAGCATCCCTCACCTTAGATTTAGAAGTGTGTACCATGGGGAGATACATGAAGCTGTAGGAGGCAGATCCCCAGCTCCACGCCCAGACACACATACAGTGAACTCATGACCCCTTGGGAGTGTGTCTGGCTGACTGCCCAGCCTCCTTGCGCAGGTAGGGACCGGACTCAAATCCCATACACGGCACACACATCAGGGATGTTCGTCCCTGACCTCCACTGTCAGGCTAGATGGTCTGTTCCGTTCCCTGAGTTCATTTAACTTGCACAAGTGTAATAACCAGCCATCGGGGTTATTTATACATTTTTCAAACCTCCAGAGCACTGCAGTTCTCTACGACTGTTTGGACACTTAAACACTAGCGGCAAAGGAACTTGGAGAGTACAGAGCTGAGCCTCTTTCGCAACCTCTTGGATTGGGTCCTTATCGCTGGGGAGATGGGGACAAGATTTGTCTTCATGTACTTGCCAAATGGCACTTGGGCTCCACAACATGGTGATGAGTTTTATTCTCTCAGCCTGATGCGTGTGCTTGTCTTAGAGGAGGTTGGCTGGGACTGATGTTGCAAAGACAGGAAGCAAAAGAAGCCAGAAGTGAAAAGGGATGTTATTTATTATCAAGCAGATTATTTTTCTTCAGAGTCCAAGATGAAGTTAAGTGTCATACCAAGAAAATCAACTACTCTCCTTTTTTTTTTTTTTTTGTGGTTTGTCTTAGATGAAAGAAAAGATGAATATATTCTCATAAACTGAAACTTTGTTTTCAGTATTGTCTTTGAACAGAAGGCAGCTCTAGGTCAGGGTAAAGGACTTTGTTGGTTCAAGTAGTTAAATTTGAAGTAGAGGAGAATTAAATCTAGGGTTAAGTTTCAAGGTGCTAAGGAGGCAGGAACTCTGATCACTTGAAAGAAATTATTGCTCTATTGTCTCGGTTATTGACACAGAGCCAAATGTAGAAGGAATTTGCCCTGTTGCATAGCTGATTGTTGAGGCAGCCATTATTTTCCTGACACCTAACCTCTCCGTTTTCTAGAATTTGTAGAAGGCATTGAACACGTTCTTGTTGAACCCCTCAATCTTCATCAATGCAGAAAAGCTTGCTTTTAATGTTCACCCTTTCTCCCCCATTCCTCGTGCCGAAGGACCTCAGGACTTAGTACCGCAGACATAATTTAGGTAGTTGTACAATTCTGTCTAGCTGGGTCAAGCTTCTGTTCTGTGAATTAAATGCGAGTCCTTGCTGAGCCCAGCTTTGTGCTTGGGCCCTGGGTGGCTGCAGGTCCACGCTCTCTTGGCCATGGCCTTCAGAGGCTGAACCAATAGGATCCCAATAAAAGCGTCAACTCTGCTGATTAATGCACATTAAGAACGCCAAGGGCCTGACTCTGTTTTGTAAAATAAACGGACCCAAAAACGGGCAAACAAAAATGATGGCTTTGCCATGTCTGTAGGTTACCTCCAGCCGGGTCATCGGTGCCATGAAAGGAACAGTTTGAATACATGGCAGCCTCCTCCGGGGTTTTGTCCTGGTGTCAAGACATGGGAACTTAACATTGGGTCACGGGAAGGAAGAGAAACTATTCAGCAAATTATTCTCTTCTTGCATTAAGACGTTTGACTTTTTTTTCATCCTCACCTGAGGACATTCTTGCATTTTTTTTGCATTTCTCTTCAGACAGAGCGGGAGGGAGAGGGGGAAGAAGAGAGAGAGAGAGAGAGAGAGAGAGAGAGAGAGAGACAGACATTGATGTGAGAGAAACCCACAGACTGGTTGCCACCCACACGACCCCATCCGGGGCCGGGGACAAACTGCAACCGAGGTATGTGCTCCTAGTGGGAACCGAACCCGGGTCTTTCTGGTCTGCGGGCCAAACCAGCCAGGGCAAGATGTTTGACTTCTATACATCACTTTTTTTAAAACTCCTCACCCAAGGATATGCTTTTATTGATTTTAGAGAGAGAGAAAGACTGGGAGAGAGAGAGAGAGACATAGATATGAGAGAGAAATGTTGATTGGCTGCCAGCTGCATGTACCCTGCCTGGGATCTAACCCACAGCCTGGGCATGTGCCCTGACAGGGAATCACTCTTTCAGTTTACAGGAGGACTCAACCACTGAGCCACACTGGCCGGGCTCTTTATTGATTTTTAGAGAGGAAGGGAGAGAGAGAGAGAAACGTCAATGAGCCAGAACATTGATTGGCCGCCTCCTGCATGCCCCCCACTGGGGATCTGGCCCACAACCTGGGCATGTGCCCTGACCAGGAATCGAACCGGCGATATCTTGGTGCATGGGTTGACGCTCAACCACTGAGCCACACCAGCCGGCTATACAACATTTTTAATACAGGCTTCAGAGTGCTTTTATGTTTACATTCTCAGCTGATTTTTGTAATTGAGAGGTACTGTCAGCTTCATTTTACAGATGGGAGAAACGGAAGCTGAGGCAAAGGTCAGGCAAGGAGGCCAAAGCTTCACAGCTAGTAGGTCAGGTACTGGAGCGGGGTTGGGGGGATCAGAGTCTTTGCTTCTCTCTTTCTGTTGTGTAGCAGCCTAGCTTCAGGAGGTTACGATACCGGTCAGATCTTTACCAGAAATGATGATGATGATGGTGGTGGGGTGGTTCCATTTTTTACTCTCTGTTCCTATATAACACCGTCTCGGTTTTTGTTTCTCCTCCGTCCCCTTTTGTGTCTTTCAGCTTGGATTCCTTAGTACCACCTCTGCTCAGCCAGAACAGAAGGCTCCAAATCTCATTGGCAAATATCACCATGTTGACCGTGCAACCGGCCAGGTGCTAACCTGTGACAAGTGTCCGGCAGGAACCTATGTATCTGAGCACTGTACCAACACAAGCCTGCGTGTCTGCAGCAGGTGTCCTGGGGGGACCTTCACCAGGCATGAGAATGGCATAGAGAAATGCCATGACTGTAGCCAGCCATGCCCAAGGCTGATGGTGGAGAAATTACCTTGTACTGCCTTGACTGACCGAGAATGCACTTGCCCACCTGGCACGTTCCAGACTAATGGTACCTGCGTTCCCCATAAGCAGTGTCAAGTAGGTTGGGGTGTACGGAAGAAGGGGACAGAGACCGAGGATGTGCGGTGCAAGCAGTGTGCTCGGGGGACCTTCTCTGATGTGCCTTCCAGTGTGTTGAAATGCAAAGCCTACACGGACTGTCTGAGTCAGAACCTGGTGGTGGTCAGGCCAGGCACCAAGGAGGCGGACAACGTCTGCGGCCAACCCCCGTCCTTCTCCAACACAACCACCTCTTCACGCCCCGAGCACATGGAATCTCACCAAGTCCTGTCCTCCACGTATGTTCCCAAAGGTAACGTAACCTCATGACTTATCATTCGAGGAAGGCTTTGAGCCCAGTGAGGGTACCAACCATGGGCTGGTACAGTACCAAGGATGTTTTCTCCATTTTGTGTATTGCAGAGTCACCCCTTGAAGAAGGGGCTTGCATGTTGTGGCTAATTAAATCTAAAAATAAAATGGTCCAAAGCTTCTCTGGACTGTTTAGAAACCTTTAGACTCAGAAGTTGGCAATTAGGGGGATCAGATTTCTGTAAAATAGGTCACATCAGGCTAGAAAAAAAGAACCCAAGAAAACAAGGACAGTGTGTGGCCTTATGTAAGTCACTGAACTTCTTCTGGCCCTGGTTTCAAGCTTATCAAATGAATGAGTGATTTAGATGTTCAAGATCTCGTCCAGATGAAAAGTTTTCCAACCTGGAGTCACTCTTAGGTAGACACAACCAGAAGGTCAGAAGGAGAAAGAAGGGGAGAAAATCCCAGGACATCCCGAAGGGGGAGGGGTGAATATTGGATCCAAGGTGGGGCAGAGGTTATCATCAAGGTTGGAGAAGCGGAAGTAAGTTAGAAGCTTCCAGAAACAAGCAGATTTGTATCACATTGAAGGTTACTAGCATCCACATCTGGAAAATGTGTATTTTTTTTCAAATGATCCTAATTGGATACTCTTCATTGGGTATGGCAGTTTCCCGCAAAATTCATTTCGACTCTCAGGCATAGTATAAAATTTATTTATTTATTTTTTTGATAGAGCAGGAGGGAGAAAGGGAGGAAGAGAGAGAGAAGAGAAACATCAATGTGAGAGAGACACATCAACTGGTTGCCAACCAGGGCCGGGGACAAACTGCAACCGAGGTACGTGCCCTTAGCAGGAATCAAACCTGGGACTTTTCATTTTGTGGGCCAGTGCTCTAACTGCTGAGCCAAACTGGCCAGGGCTAAAATTTATTTATGTTTAAATCCTTTTGGATTGAATTTAATTTTCATGAGATGATAGCCCACTTACTTGTTCTTTAGCGGGAACCGAACCCGGGCCTCTCCGGACCACAGGCCGATGCTCTAACTGCTGAGCCAAACCAGCCAGGGCAGGAGGGCCTTCTTTTTTTTTTATTTTTTATTTTTTATTTTTATTTATTTATTTATTTTTTATCCTCACCCGAGGACATTTTTGCAATTTTTGTACAGATAGAGTGGGAGGGAGAGAGAGAGAGAGAAACATCGACGTGAAAGGGACACATCGAGTGGCTGCCACCCACACGACCGACCAGGGCCGGGGACAAACTGCAACCGAAGTACGTGCCCTTAGCGGGAACCGAACCCGGGTCTCTCCAGACCGCAGGCCAACGCTCTAACCGCTGAGCCAAACTGGCCAGGGCGGGGAGGGCCTTCTTACAACCCACATTTTATTTTTTATTTTACATTTTGTCGTTATTGATTTTAGAGAGAGAGATGGAAACATCGATGAGAGAGAACATCGATTGGCCCCCTCCTGCATGCCCCCCACTGGGGATCAGGCCCACAACCTGGGCATGTGCCCTTACTGGGATTCGAACCAGCAACCTCTTGGTGCGTGGGTCGACATTCAACCACTGAGCCACACCAGCTGGGCGCAACCCACATTTTAAAAGGAAGAGACCGGGCTTAGAGAACTCAATGATCTGACCAGGTTTCTTAGGGGCCAGTATGGGCCAAGTTTTATTTCTTGGGACTCAAAATCTCTGGCTTTCATTCCTCATTATTGAAGACAACTTGTGGAAGCTTCTCTGAAAGAAGTCCATTCAACTGCCAGCCCAAACCTTATTTAACCTATTAGTAGAAGACACTAAGCAAGTCCTGCCTTATTTTATTCACCGACCTGTCTCACCAAACCTGGCTTTTACTGGTCAAACTTGGATTTGAGTTTGGGCTCTTTTCTTTTTATCTTGGTCATATTTTCAAATTCACCGTTACATTATGACATTGTCAAAAGATGGGAGTGGAGGTATAACGGAATTAAAGGACAAAGGAATTCAATTTGAACTAGTACTCTGAGCAGCTGGAGCGGTTAGGAGTCAGATGTGGCTCTGAACACACGTGCCCGCTCAGGCTGTGAAGCAGGGGTGAAGTTCAGATGCTGGACCCCCCAGAATGCCCTGGGTTTTGGCACAAGGAAGCGAATGAGTGTAGCTGTTCAGCTTAATTTTTACCTTCCACATACAGGTGCTTTTAAGATCTTTGTGAAAATGTGCAACACAATTTATTCTTAAGCTCCAAAGGTCATCTCGTTAATTATCTGGCCTGGTTTGGAGATGAGCAGGAAGAGGAGGGAGTATATAGATTCCCAAATATAGAAGCACTTACCCACTCCTTACTCTTCTTGTTTTTTTTTTCCCCCTAGGCATGAACTCAACAGAATCCAACTCTTCTGCCTCTGTTAGACCAAAGGTACTGAGTGGCACCCACAAAGGGACAGTCCCCGACAACACAAGCTCAGCAAGGTGGGAGGACGGTGTGAACAAGACCCTCCCAAACCTCCAGGTGATCAACCACCAGCAAGGCCCCCACCACAGACACATCCTGAAGCTGCTGCCCTCCATGGAGGCCACGGGGGGCGAGAGGTCCAGCACGCCCATCAAAGGCATCAAGAGGGGCCATCCCAGACAGAACTCGCACAAGCATTTTGACATCAATGAGCATCTGCCCTGGATGATTGTGCTTTTCCTGCTGCTGGTGCTTGTGGTGATAGTGGTGTGCAGTATCCGGAAAAGCTCAAGGACTCTCAAAAAGGGGCCCCGGCAGGACCCCAGCGCCATCGTGGAAAAGGCGGGGCTGAAGAAAGCGGTTACCCCAACCCAGACCCGGGAGAAGTGGATCTACTACTGCAATGGCCACGGTGAGCTTGCTTTTCTCCTTGCTTACAGGTCCCCTGTCTCCTTCCCTTGTCCCTGTTGTCTGCAGGAGTGGGAAATGCACAGTGTCTGGAATCTCGTTTGTGCACCAAGTGCTATTTGATCTGTGTTAGGAGAAACGAGGTGGTCAGCATTTGCCACAACGCATGCAGAGAGAATAACCACTCTGCCCTTTTCTCTCCTGGTACATTTAAAGGAGCATGTTGCAGAATGAGAGGGACCTTCAGGGACTTCGTTCAGCCTTGTCGTTAAACACGAGAGGAGACTGAGTTCAGTAGTTGTGGCTGCACCCTTGACCTGGGCTGGTTGTTGGTTGAGGACACATGGGATGGACTCCGGGTCTGCTGACTGATGGGGCCCTTGCTTTTCCTTCTCTACTGGGCCGCTAAGAACATAAACAAAGTGTCTTAAGTTTTCCTTTTTGTACCTGAACCTTGCTTTTAGATTCCTATACTTTTTGCCCATGTACTTTCCCCCTTGTTACATTTTTAGGATCTCGTTTCTCTCAGGATAGGAAGGTCTTTTCGATTGTAGACACCCAAAGCTTAATGTGTTGGTGATCATCTTCTACCCAGTGCTCAGTGTGTGTTGATACAGCCTGGAATATTTGTTTTTCTTTTTTTGAAGGCCAGAAATAGCATGCGGAAGTTGCTCCAGGTGCTGTTTGAGGAGAGAGGACAGTTTGCCGACGGTGGCAGTAAAACCCCCCTTTCTATAAACCCTATAATGAGATTTCAGCCTGAAATTTTGGTGCGTCCAGTCAGAGGCCCTCTGGCCTCTTAAAGATAAAGGTGTTAGCCTTACTTTGTAAGAGGGGTTTGGCCCTTTGTATTGAGCCTTAAAAATATGTTCGTACTTTTTAGCCCGGCAATTTCACTTTTGTGAGTCTACTATAAACCAGAAATGCTTAAAAACAAACAAACACACAAGCACAAAGGTCTTAAACTTTTAACTCCGTATTATGTATAATACGCTGAAATGAGACACAATTAGAAGGACATTTTTAAGGCAATGACTGAGTAAATTATGGCCTATATGGAGTATGGAATAGTATGTTGCCATTGAAGATTTTGTGAAGTGTTTTTGACGACACATTGTGAAGAAGCAAAAAGAAGTGGGTGCTAATTTGCTGAGAGAGAGAGACAGAGACTACATTGATATAACTTTTATTACAGTCTGTTGTTGTGATTGTTCTATTTTATTGTTGTTGGTAATCTCTTAATTGTGCCTGATTTATAAATTAACCGATCATAGGTTTGTACAGGAAAAAACATAGTAATTATATATATGGTTTGGTGCTGTCTGTAGTGTTCGGCATCCACTGGGGGTCCTGGCACGTCTCCTCCGAGAAGAAAGGGGGGACTACTGTGGTCTCATTTAAGGTGTAACTCTTTTCTAATAGTTTAACTCTGCCCTTCAGGTTTTTGCATCAGGATGTTTATATTTAAGGTGTTTTTCTAAAGAAAGTCTATTTTTTTTCCAAATTTTTGTTCTGAAAGGTTCAACTAAGTAAAATCCCATTACAGGGAGAGGCTCTGTTTAATAAAAACTATTCCAGGTGCTCAGGGAGGCCTCTAGAAATAATATCTCGTTGTTCTCACTGCAGTGAGTTCTGGGCAGCAGATAATCCTGTATAATAAGGTATTTTTCTGGTGCTTGTCCATTTACACTGACCTGTTTGTGGGAATGAGAGTGGGCACAAAATTGCCTAGCCCGGGGTGTTCTCCACATGAGGTCCTGTAAGACCTCACTCACATCCCCCCTTGAAGCGGACCATGCGGTGCTCCTGAATGCCTTACAGCCCCTCATTTCTCAACAAGAGCCTTTTTTTAAAAAAACATTTTTTAAAAATCATTATTGTTGAAAGTATTACAGATGCCCCCACCACCATTGACACCCTCCTCCCCGTTCCCACCCCCTTCCTGCCTTCCCCATACTATTGTCTGAGTCCATTGGTTATGCATATATGCATGTAAGTTCTTTGGTTTATCTCTTCCTGTCCCCCTTCCCTCTGAGGTTCATCAGTCAAACAATTTGTACTTAATCCCTTCACTTTCCATCCATCCCCCAACGGTCTCCCATCTGACAACCAACAAAAAGTTATCTATGCGTCTGTTTCTGTTCTTTTTGCTCATTTTGTTTGTAGATTCAGTTGTTGCTAGATATGTATTTATTGCCATTTTATTCTTACGTTTTTATCTTCAAGAAGATCCTTCCATATTTCATATAACACTGGTTTGGTGAAGATAAACTCTAGATTTTTCTTGTCTGGGAAGCTCTTTATATGTTCATTGATTCTAAATGACAGCTTTGTAGATCCTTGCTTTTCACTTTGAATGTTTCTTGCCATGCCCTTCTAGCGTGCAAAGTTGGACGCTAGATTTTAAGAAATCAGCTGACAGCCTTATGGGAGCTCCTTGTAGGTAACCAACCTCTTTATTTGGCTCTAGTTACCGCTCTCTGCCAACTAAGAGAGTTCAGTGTTGAATGTTGAACTCCACAAGACTGCAATCCTACTTTGACGGACTCTTGGTGTTGGAAACACGGGATAGGACCTTACCTGGCTAGGAGGATGGAAGACGTGCTGTGGTATTTTGTATGCTTGCTTCCTGTGTCAAGTTGGAGAAATTTGATGTTTGATAGATTGGGATGGGACCCTGTTTTCTTGCAATGTGTCTATTTTAGTAACAGGCACCAGAAGTTCTTTCAACATTTTTATCTACATAAATCTTTTTAAGAGTTTATTACTGGATGCAAATGTCAGCAACATGACATCATTGTTAAAACTCAATTTGTTGTTTAAACAAAACTTGATTTCTTTTTGTACTATAACCCCCCCATTATGGGGCAAGTGGGGTCCAACATGTTCAGTTTTATTTAAAATTAAGATTAATGCGGGTTCACATTAATTGGGAGGTTTTATTTCAAACTGTACATGTTGTCTGATCTATTTTGTCACATAAAACACAAAAATTAAGATAGTGAAACTTAGTCCACACACAACCGACCATACATTGCACTGAGAAAGTCTCAGACGATCTCAGAACAGTCACTTTGGTGATTTTCTTGTAACTGAGGAAGACCCAGAGCAGGGGTCCAATCCCAGCTGGGAACAGGGATGGCTCAACAGAACCGACGCTGTTCTCTCATTGCTGTTTCTACCAAGGGTGCTTCTGGTGACCTTCCCTTCCTCCCCCCCTCCTCTCGCCCCTTCCCACTCCTCTCTCTTCCCCCCCCTTTCCTTTATTCGCCCTTATCTCTGACTATTTGGAAAAACTCTGAAGTTAGTCCCCAGCTACTGGTTGCTTTAGGGAGTCTGAAGAGAAGCCTGAACAGCAAATGAGGAGTGGAAATTGCCCTGAAAACACTTGTGGAGGAAGTTCTGCAGGGTGAGAAAGGAGCACCCTTTCCTCCCAGGCTATGAAGAAAAACAGGGCAGAAACAAAGGAATTGGCTCTATTTTGTGTTTCACCTGCCTTAGCCCCTAATTAGAACATTCTGAGTTCTGAACTTTAGGGAGACAAGAAGCATTTGACCTTCTGGTGTAGTTACTTGAAGAGCATGACATATAAAGACCGCGTCTCCCATAAATGGACAGCAAGAGGCATTGTGAAGGCAGCAGGTGCCCTTTCTCCAGCAGACTGCTTTGTACCTGCAGCAGCAAAAGGGCGACGGTCTCATTGTATAGCATTAGATTCAAGATTCGATTTCTTTTTTCTTTACTGATTTTAGAGAGAGAGCAAGGGAGAGGCAGAGGGAGAGAGAAACATCCATGAGAGAGAACATCGATCGGCCGCCTCCTGCAGGCCCCCCACTGGGGATTTGGCCCACAACCTGGGCATGTGCCCTGACTGGGAATTGGAACCGGTGACCTGGTGTATGGGTCGATGCTCAACCACTGAGCATTTGATTTCTTAATTACTTCGTTTCTTACTGTCTTGTACCATTTAACTGTGTGTATGTGGTTTGTCTTTCCACATTGCTTGTGAGACACTGGGTCTCATTGTGTATTCTCCACGCTGGGCCAGTAGCACGGGGTTCTAGGAGGGGCGATCTTGAGCTGTGCTGGCTTATGTGGTCATCACATGAGCCATGAAATTTGCAACTAAAATGAACCAAAGTTAACAATCCAGTTTCTCAATTGTACCAGCCACAGGTTAAGCGCTCAGTAGCCCCAGGGTTTTAGTAGTTACCATGTTGGACATGACAGATATAGACCATTTCCATCATAGAAAGTTCTATTGTATAGCACAGGTGGAGAGCACCCATGATATCCGCTTATGCTTTTCAAGGTTGGATTGATTTCAAGCCATTGATCTATTGGATTGCTTTTCCTTTTGACTTACAGTGACACATGGTGTTAGGGATTTCAACATACAGAACTTAAGGTGGGTTTTTTTATACTGAAGTGCCATGTACTCGGGATGAATTATTTTTTGGAGCTAAGGGAGTCTTCCATCACAGCAGTGCTTTGAAATGTGCAAAAACCGACTACAAAAAGATTGCTGGTATTCCTCCATCTGACTTACTTCTTTGGAGTGGAGCACTTCGGCCCTGAACTTTGGAGAGCGGGGTGATGGGAAGAGAGGAACCCGCGAATTCAAAGGCTAGGGTACCTTTGTCAATGCTTAGGTGTTTGTGTTTAACATGAAGAGTGTTTGTTTTGGGAAAGCTTTGAACTGGAGAGCATTGAAGGTCATGGAGAATTGTGTCTGTGTGTGTGCATGTGTGTGTGTGCATGTGTGTGGTGTGTGTGTGTGTGTGTGTGTGTGTGGTGTGCGTGCTATGTGTGTGTGAGTCAGAGTTAGAAGAGACCCATTGAGTCCAGTCCTCTAGCTCTGCAGAAGCTGAATCAGGTCCGGGGAACAGTGGTGACTTGCCCAAGGTCATGTGGGCAGGGGGTTAACGGAGGAGAACAGAGCTTGGTTGGGTCTCCTGACTCCTGGGACGCCACCCTTTGTATTTCCAGTGATGTCGCCACTTT